AAGACATATGGAAAAGTAGTTTATAAACTATAATGAGTTTAAATATATATATGTACATATGGTTATTACTACCCAGATGGCAGGAAAACATCAGTGTTTTTTAAAAAAATATTCATAGGCCACATCAAAGATTTTCTTACATGCATTTTTATCCCTTTCAGTCACTTCTCTTTATGAAATATATGCCAACCCAGTAGAAAGGTTCCCAACAATGATTCATTTGGTTCACTGTTTTCCATTCAACTAGATAGCGATGGATATATACATATCTTTTTTCCATTCCACTGGACAGTGGTATGTGATAACGTGATAAGATTTTTCAAAGGTGACCTGATCACACTTAAAATTTCAATTCCAATTCTCCTTCCCTCCCTGCTTTATTTTCTCCAACTCCGTTTTCAAAATCTGACAGTACATTGGTTTTACTTGCTTACTGTCTGTCTCGCTACAGTACAACACAAGTTTCTTGAGAGTAGGGATTTTTGTCTGTCTACCTAACTTCTAATACAGGTATATATTGTAAAGACTCTGTAAATATTTGTTGAATGAATGATTAAATGAATAGCCAGGAAAAATAGTTTCCTTTAAAATTCACAGATTAGACAAAAGACAAAACTCTCCATTCCCATCTCCACTTTATTATTTCTTATGTAAACATATAGGATAGTTACATCCAGGGAAAAATGGCAAGGATTTTCTCTTACACCAAAGTAACAACTGTCTTTCCAAGATCCTTTATACATAAATCCAGTAAATGAAGAGGCTGAACCAAAACATGCTGCCTATTTTTCCCATCATATCAGAAACACAAAGAACTAAAAGTGAATGTTTTCAGTGAATAAATTCAACACTTTACTTTGCCATACCTGCATTTTAAAAAAAGATTTCATTTTCCTGAAATTGTTTAGAAACATCATGCAAACAGACACTCTCCTAGGAATGATTTGAGATCCCTCTGTGCTACCGAACAGGAATAAATAATAATAAATAACAACCATCACTTTCACAAAACACCCCTTCCCCCTAAGCAAAAATCTCAAAGTGCTTACAAAAAATTTCACGAGAATCTTACAAGGCACACATAAAGCATAAACATAGTACAACCATAATTTTTTCAAACATTAAAGATAGATACCAATTTCTAAAAGAAATAGTTTATTACTATTCTTTTACTCTCCCCTCCCATTTCCATCCCTCCCCCACAAAATTTCATCCTAGGAAGCAAAAATAAGAAAAGTACTTCAATCACAAACTATTTCTGAAAGGGAAGTGTTCTCATGCCTACAAATGGCCAATCATAGGTCAAATGGGAAAGAAAATTGAGCGCTGTGCTATCAAATTCTCCAGTGGAAGAAAAACACTCTTTAATTTAGAAAAGTTCTGTCTCCAATGGAGTACTAAATAGCAACATTCATAAAGACACAAAACTCTCCTCACTTGCTTTTCCCTCTGTTCTTAGAAACTCAGGAAGATTTAAATATAAAATCATAGAATTTTAGACCTGGAAATGATCTTACAAATTATCAAGATCAAAGTTGTTATTTTACATATAAATTTAAGAAAAGCTCAAGGAGAGGTGACCTACCCAATGTCACTAACTAGTGACCTGGGAATTATGAAGTTGTTTTTCTTATCTAATACTAGAGCTGGATTACTTAAAATCTCTCCCAGAGTTAAAAATCTATAAAGAACATATTTTTCACAGAAGTATCACAAAAAAGATATTTAACACTTATAACAATCAACATGTGATTCATCATAAAATTCATTAAATGGTACAAAGTATTTTACATTTTAAAATGTGGAAGGGCTTCCACAGAAACTAAACGTAGCAGAAATTCTAAATAAAGCAGAGGTGAGTAGAGGAGGAACAGAACATCTTGAAATAAGATGTATCCAGTCAGGCTTCTTTACAAATAGTTCCTGTGTTTTAGAAAATATGATTTTCCCTGCACTATATTTTAATCTTGTTATAACAACAAAAAGTTTTGTGTTATATGTGGACAGGGATATTAGAGAGCAATGGCTCATAACACAATTTGAAATATTGCTCTCAGTTAAATAACTACACAGTCATGGTTTTGCTTTTGGCACATTTCTGGAAATACAGAATAAAACTCGAGGGAGGGCTTCTTTCTAGGGTAAATTTGTGCTGTGCCGTACCCTGCTACCCTTCCTGTTGGTGTGGGACTCTCTAGGGACCTAAAATCCCAGCACCTGGCCCTCCGCCCCAAGTAAATCTGGATGTGGCCATTACTGGTCAGATTTATTCCAGGCCTGAGTGCATTCTTCTTCTCTTCTCATATATTGGAAAGTTTATTTGCCTGCAGGATCTCGGTTCCCTGACCAGGGACTGAACCTAGGCCACAGCAGCGAGAGCCCAGAATTCTAACCACTAGGCCACCAGGGAACTCCTGGGCGAGCGTGATCTGAAGCCAAGTGTGGGAGACCTCACCTTTTGGTCTCTGTGTGGGAGATGACTGTGCAGAATCCCTCCTGTGACTGTCGGCAGCAGTCTATTCCACGTAGTGAGGTCGCCCATGTGTGCATGGTTGTGGCACAGGAAGAGGGTATGCTGATTCCAAGCATTAAACAGTACCTTTGAAACTTTCAAGATTGGCTTCAACAGCCTAAGGAAGATGCCTGGAAGAGGAAAGAACTGGAGTCTGGGATCACTCTTTCTCAGGAACGGTTGACCTTTGAGGAGGTGGCCATAAAATTCACTCAGGAGGAGTGGGAATACCTGGACCCTGCTCAGAGGGCCTTGTACAGGGACGTGATGGTGGAGACCTATAGGTCTTCTCTGAGGAAGATCTTCACGAGGAAGACCTTGCTAAATTGATCGAGCTCTGGGGAAATCAGAGACAAGCAGTCAAGAGAGCGGAGCCAGATGAAGGAGCGCCTGGCAGCCCTCTCTACTCACCTTACAGAGCTGGAGGAAATCTGTACACGGCCAGAGAAGACCTCATTAAATCTGAGGAAATGAACACGAAATTGAAAGGAGATGTCCGTGAAACTGAGGCTAAAAACTGCCAGTTGCAAGAACGCCTGTAGCTGGCACAGCAGGAGCTGCAGCAGACCCTGCAGATAGCAGAGGCGCTCCCCAAGGTGGAGGCAGAGCTGGCCCAGAGTGTGGCTGCACTCTCCAAGGCAAGGCAGAGAGAAAATGAAGCACATAATAAATGTTTATCGGACACTGTTGACAAGCTTCTTTCAGAATCTAACAAGAGGCTTCAGCTTCATCTTAAAGAGAGAACAGCTACTCCAGCAAAGAAGTCTCTCCTACTAGAAGTTGAGAATGCAAAAACGCAGTTAGAAGAAATGCAACATGGTAAGGATCAGCTAAGACTAAACCTGGAAGCCCTGAGAGCTTAACTGGACCAGACAAGGCTGAGAGGAGCTCCATCACCAAGGCCGACCCCACTTGGGCAGTGTCCCAGATGTCAGGTTCCCCGTGGCAGATGGGCCTGCAGACTCCTTCAGCAGCAGCGTGGTGTGGCTGCACCCCCAGAAAGGCTGGCTGCCAGGGCTGAGTGAGGAGACTTCCGGGCCACCAGCTTCCCGAGAAGCGGTACAAGATGACAAGATGACCATAAAATGTGGAGCCTCGGCCCCCCTCCTCCCCGCTGTCCCTTCGGCTGGACCAGATGCACAAGGGGGTGCTGCACACAGTCAGCCCCGAGAACACCAGGGATGTGCACAACTCAAAAGGTTTGCAGGATGGCCCCGTGAGCAACCCCAGCAGTAGTAACAGCAGCCAGGACTCGCTGCCCAAAGCCCCCAGGAAGAAGGTCATCAAGTCCTATATCAGCTCCTTGTCTGACAAGAAAGAAAAGGGCCAACCTGGACATCTTGGCAAGGAAGCGTGATAAGGTGGTAATGCAGAGACAGAAAACTCATCTCAAGATGCCTTGGGACTCAGCAAATTGGGAGGACAGGCTGAAAAAAATCGTAAACTTCCAAAAAACAAATGATCCCATATCCAACCACTGCCCGACAGCGACCACTTGGAGACCCAAGTTCCCAACCACTGAATTGCTTGAGCCTCATGAGCACGAGATGTGAGAAACCTGCTGGCAAAAACAACTTTTTATTAAAATCGTTTTCAACTTGTTAGGAGGAAACATAAGTGGCCCACAGAACTGTACGCTTTTATCTTAAACCTGTTCAAGACAGGAACTTAAAATGAGCATTTTAATGGTACAAGGAAGCACCCTCCCCTGCCCTGGCCCTGGTGCTCCCTGTGCAGACAATTTTTATTTATGAGTGACTGGAAAACAGTGACTAAAAGAAGTAGGAGGTATATAATTCTCACCTAACAGGAAGTCCAGAGGGTGCAGTGGGGTGTGATGGATCCTCTGCCCCTTCTACCTCCATGACCACTTAATCTTTAGTGTCCTTACAGCAACTCTAGCATTGTGCATTTTTTTCAGTCAATATCCTCATATAAAGAAAAATAAAATGTTTTTTTGCTTTCTCTTTTTATTGTATCTCTATGAGATGATGGATCCTTACTAAATTTATTGCACTAAGTATTTTAATATATGTAAGTCAGAACATTATGCTATACACCTTAAGCTCATAAAGTGATGTATGTCAAGTACATCTCATAAAACTGAGGGGGAAAAGGCAAATAGAACACTTCAGGAAAAATGAAAAAAGAAAACTCTAGGGAGGGTTATAAAAATTGCATTAATGTAAATGAAAAAAGTTATTAAGAGGATACTAATAGCTACCCATATTTAAACTGCTCATCTAGTGACAGTAAGAAAACTAATATATATTGCCAATTCAAGACAGAAAAAGGAATGAACTACTGACACACACAGCAACGTGGATGAGTCTCAAAGGCATTATGCTGAGTGAAAAAAGCATAACAAAAGGGAACATGCTACAGATTTCCCTGGTAGTCCAGTGGGTAAGACTCCCGTGCTCCTAATGCAAGGGGCCTGGGTTCGATCCCTGGTCAGGGAACTAGATCCCACATGCATGCTGCAACCAAGAAGTCCGCATGCCGCAACTAAAAGATCCCGTGTGCTGGAACTAAGACCCAGTGCAGCCAAAAGAAAGAAATAAATAATAATTTTTTTTTAATAAAGAGGAACATACTATAAGGTTCTATTTATGATATTTCAGAAAAGGCAAAATTATAGTGATGGAGAACTGTTGCCTGGGTTTAGTGCTAGTATGAGGAGCTGACTACAAAGGGGAAGCATAAAGGAGTTTTGGAGGGGGATGGAATGTTCTGTATCCTAATTGCAGTGGTGGTTGCATAAATCTGTACATATGTAAAAATTCATAGAACTGTACACCAAAAACAAAGGTCAATTTTACTGTACGTTAACCAACAAATAAAATAAATTTCAAAAAGGAAACAGAAAAAATACCTTAGAGCTTCATGCCAATGGTATAATTCTACTGGCCACAAAATTATTAAATGTAACCGTATTAAATAAAATCAAGAAACCTAGGCCCAATTAATCATTTCTAAAATATGTATACTAACAACTTATGGAAATATTATTGTAAGGAATATTAGCTTATGTATAAGGAAAGTCTGCTACTTCCAAATGAATTTGAATCGTGTTCCTTTATGGTTTAAAACAATAGATACCTTGGTGTTTAGTTTAGAATCCAATAGAGTTGGTTAAAAAAAAAATTCACCAGTCCTGTTTTTAAAATCACTAATAATGGGTAATAGCATGTTTTAAAATTTATTTTCTCTTCCCATTATCCTAATTTATTGAAGTTATGGTATGGTTGGATTTTACACTTGTATCAATTACCTAGAGACTCAAAATCAGAATCTGGAAATAATGCTGGTCCTCTGTCACTAGAATCAAGAATATTTAAGAGGAACACTATTTCTCTAGGTAAACCACTGGGACTTATATATAATGTATGAGATGAGACAGCATCCTCTCAGCTTTAACATGTCTCCCACACTTTGGAACTGGTAGTACAAGTTCAGAAAGAATAACTTGTGTAGGTAGACCAAAAATAAGACCCAAAGATAGGGTTGGAAATGCAATATTACAAATACTGCATTTCTATAGAAAGACTTGCCTAACAGAATGATGTAAGGCTTACATAGCAAGGTGTGATTCTAATTATAGTCGATTTTGCCTTTCCAGATCATGCCTGGGTAGTTTTTCGCCACTGCTTCTGCCATGGACAGAGGTTAAGTGCTTTTTGAGAGCAGATTTGTGCTTGAAATCCATGTCACAACAGTGGCATTTGTATGGCCGATCCCCACTGTGTATGTTCAAGTGGTCTTGAAGTGTGCTTTTAGCGGTAAATGTCTTCAGGCATACAGTACACTGAAAGGGCCGTATGCCCATGTGCCCTCGAATGTGCCGGTTGAGATTTTTCTTTTGTGTAAACGTTTTCCCACACTGTAAGCATAGGAACAGTTTATGCATCTTAAGGTGGCGCAGATAGTTTTCAACGTGAAGAAACCCCCGAGGGCACCGGGGGCACTGGTGCCTCAGGGAAAAAGCATCCTCTAGATTCTGAATCTCATTCACTGTACCATGACTTCCTTCAGTATTCTCACAAAATAAGCCCTGATCTTGATTCCCAGGAACTTCTGCCACTCTGCTCTCAACTGTAGAATTGATCAGTGAATGCTGTGTTTCCGAGAAATACATGCTTGCTTTTGAAGAGGTACAAGGCTGTGATAACTTCCCATTTTCTACACCCCCAGTACTGATAGATTCCACATGGAGGATACGAATTTCATTGTCTTTAAAACCTATGTCTACTGAAGACAGCTCTGGTGACTTCATTTCCTTTCTTTCTGATGTCAAGCTCTCTACTGCAGACTGTAAAGCATTGCTTTCTTCTTCTTTAACATGGAAATCTATGTTTACAGGACTATCCTCTGAAATTTCAATGATCTCACAGTCTTTATCTGAATTTTCTTCTTCATTCTTAACATCTGGATCAGAGGATTGACACAGGTCAGCATGTTGATTGTTATTTTTCATAGTAAGATCAATTTCCAGATATTTTGACAAAGCTTCTGTGCACTTTTCCACAATGTGAACCATCTGAAGGTAACTAGCAGCAGTCAAGTATTTCAAAAGCTCTTTCCTTTTAACTTCAAGTGCTCCAGTGTAGCAAGAGAGCAACAATTTTCTGCCAACTTCTGCACTCTGCAAGATGGTGATTCTGACATGTTTTGACTGCGTGAGTAAAAACTGATCTCTCATAAAAGTGGAGCAAGCAGCTAAGATCACCTTGTGCCCCTGGAACTCAGTGTCATTAATATAAATTGACACATCACAAAATAAATTCTGCTGTCTCAAGAGATTCATTTTCTGCAAGACTACATCTCCTTGCTGTTCAAACTGGAAGTGCAGAACATCAGACTCAGCAGCCATGGTCACAATCTAAGCAAAATAAAACATAAACATTGATGTAAGGATCGGGGATGCTTTCCTACACTGTGATAGTAAAAACAAACAATTAAAAAATCCTAAACCTAAACTGGGTAAAAGACAACTCAAATTCTAATCTGGGCGCTAAGAGTGAACCCCTATATAACCATCTCAAGACCCAGAAAAATAAAACGCATTTCTCTATGCTCTTGTGGTACATTTTTCATACTTTTGTTACAGAACTTATTACGTTGAATTGTACTCAACAGTTTCTATGTCTTTCTCCTCGACTAAACTGTATGTGCCTTGTGGTCAAGGACATTGTTAATGCCCACTACTAAGTGGACTTAACTCAGTTTCCCAAATTAGAAACCTTAATGTAATCTCCAAACTTCCTGCGCCTCATCACTACCGCAGGTCTTCCTTCTGTTCACCTGGACCAATGCAGTCTCCTTGATACCACACTCTCCTACATTCCAAACTACCCTCCTAAGTGCCACCAGATTAACATCTTTTAAAACTTTTTAAAAAATTCTATTTTACTCTTCTGCTTTAAATCCTCCATTGCTCTCCTCTACCTCCAGGACAGCATAACCTTCTTAGCAAATACAAGATCTTTCATTATTTGGCCTTCACCAACGTTATGGCTTTACCTTTCCTCTATCTTTTACACTGAAGCTTCTTTGATATTTAGATTTTCACCACTGGCCAGACAAGAAGACCCAATTACACCTCTGCACATGCTACGTTCGCGCTTTCAGCTAGTGATTTGGCCGAAGGCTCAAATCAAGTAAGATTTATCCACCCGTCTCCTGGACAGAGTCAGTTGCTCTCAGAACACCACGAAAAGGAGCCTGGCTCATCTGAGTTCCTGCAGCGAGCACAGGGGCAGGCACAGAGCAGGGGCAGCTTCGGGAATACCTGTTGAACTGAATCCGGACCACAGGTGGCCTGGAAGATCCTCCAGTTCGCCACATAGGTCTTCCCGAGCCAAGCCTGCCAGGACCAAGGTCCTGACGGCCAGGTGCCTGCAGCACCCCTCCAGCCACTCCCGGGCCGCGCCTCGCTGCTGCCCTCCTCCTCCTCCGCCTCCTCCTCCGGCTTCCCCACCTGCCGGAGTTTCCCACGCGCTCACTCACCGACTCAGAAACCAGAGCCGAGCTTTCCACTACAGCGGCGGCCCAGGCCGGAAGATGGGGTCAGCCTGGGAGGAAACGCATCCGGTGTCAACTAGCTTCATTCTTTAGTGGGGCCCGCTGGGCGTCCCGGAAGGACATCCTGAGACAGTCTCCCTTACTCCCCCCACGCCTGGAATAACAGAAAAGCCCCCGAATTCTGGCAAGTCCCATCTCTCCTGTCCCACTTTCGGTACTCAAGCCGGTTCCCTCCGTGAGCTCTCTTCAACATCCGAATAGCGGACGGGTTGTGAAGTTGGGGTACAGCGCGTCTGTCAGAGTACCCAGCACCGGGACCCCTGGGAGGCCCTCCCGGATTATTAGGGGCCAGGTCCTCTGCTTACCCTGAAATATACAATTTAAAAGGTGGCGGAGGTAAGGAGAGGAGAGTGCCATCGGGATCAGTACTCGAGATTGCCTAGCTAATGCCCCCTCAGGATCTGGATCCCACCTCACCGCTCAACCTATCGCTTCCTCCCCACGCCCCTACCCCTCTCACTTCCTTGGCAAACCCAGGCCTTCTATCTCAACCGTTGGCCCGGCTGTTCCTCCAACATGCCCTATCCCTCCTACCACTCATCCTTCAAAATCCCATTCATCCATCGTTCATAAATCACATCATCCCTGAAGCCATCCTGAACTGCCCGTGAATTACTTGGCTCCCAATTGGGAACCAGTAAACCCTTTGGCTGCCTTCGTGACGGCAATTATCGTACCTGTATTGAAATCTGTGTCCCACCTAGGCAGAGGTATTTAGGACAGTGACTTACTGCTCCTTGCATTCCCGAAGTCTAGAACTTAGTAGGCATCAAGGATTTGCCAAATGAAGGAATGTCTCAGCTAATTCTTAAAAGCAGCTGCTCCATCCCCTCAGTCAATAGCACAGGAGGAAGTAACTGACCCTAGTAACAATTTCTGGTTAGCCCAGATTTGCTTCTGAAGCCAAGCTCAGCGTGCTTGATTAATGTCTTTTCAAGAATAAAAGTGAAGAAAGCATTCCTGCATTCAAATTCAAGCAATTGGAAAGGGAAGCAGGAGGGGAGAGAGAAAATAAACCACTGACACCAGAGCTTTAATTGTCAAACTTTTATTAAGGAAACTTCCCCATAATAAGTGAAGAGGTAGTTCACAGTATGTCTAACATACAACAGATTTAGAACAGCTATTCACCAGCTGAAATAAAATGTTCTGGGTTGTTTGTTTAGGATAATATCTTAGAAGTAGTGACAATGGTCACCCTCCATTTATAGACCTTCTAATAAGGAAACTAAAACAAATTAAAACCACATCTGATTTACCTCAGAGCCACTTCAGTTTGGAGTTTGCCTTTAAAATTAAATAATAAATAAATAACTGTGACACAGTAATTTTTTAAAAACCAAACTATGGTAAAGAGAGCCCCCTCTCCTTTTTAGTTATCCTGGGGATCCATAAAATACAAATGCTGAATGTCTAAGGTTTTAAAAAATCTTCCTCCTCTACAAGAATACGACTAGTTTTGAAAGTCATCTTCCCCTGTAAAACATATTTGATATCAGTAACTTGACCACTTTGCAATACAATCTAAGAAACATGTATAAACAAAGAAAGAGAAAAGTCAAGTACCACCAAAATTAAGAAAATGTCTCACAGAAACAGAACACCTCTCCAGCCAAGAAATGGAAGACACTGTAAACCATGTCAGTAGTTTGCAGTTGAAAAAGGTGAGAACTAGAAGATTTAGTGATACAAAACCATCAAGATGCTAATTTAAAGTGATCAAAGACAGCAAGGCAGTTTTCTTTATTCTTCCTAGGATAAAACCAAATTGACACCTTATCTCACTAAGACTACATGAAATTGTAAGCTCTGTGAGGGCAGGGACCATAGCAATCTTACCTTCATATCCTCAGTATCTAGCATAGTGCCTGGCAATGGTAGGTGTTCAATAAATGTCTCTTGAATGTCTGAATGAATCCAGGAATAGTCTCCAACCAAAGAGACCAATCTTATTTGAACCCATGCCTTTTAGTCTTCAAACCAGTAACAAAAACAGGACATGAATGTAAGCAGAGGAAGCACTCCAACTTGAAATTTCCCTGTGACAAAATGATGTTCAGAGAAAATAGTGAAACATCGGTTAACATGTTAGTGTCTCACTGTTGCATAGAATTGGTACTCTTTGGCTGGATCATATAAAAACCAGAATGCTAGGCAGCATCATTAGACCATATAATGAGTGACATTAGGCATAGATACCTGTTAGTCTTATCACTCAATTTTATTCTCATTTAAAATCTTTTAACAAAAGGTAGAAATTATACTTCAAATCAGATTCACATATAAATGCATCAAATTATAACAACTTTAAGAACTCCCTCTGACTACTCAAGTTAAAACTAATTTTTGGTTTATCTGTACATGGACTCTCATAGCTCAGAAACAAAAACAGAAAATCCTGATGGAAACTAAACAAACACTGTTTCAAGACAAAATCAGTTTCACATTTGGATCCTTCTCACATTATTCTTACTTGTTCTTGCCCTTCCTAATCAACACCTAGCAAATGTCACTTGCTTAGGAAAAATGTAATATTCATCCTAACCAAAAAATAATTAACTTACAAAAATAAATCCTTCTGTGATGTTTTATTTGCAAAATTCAGGATGTCTCAGAAAGCAAACAGTGATTCACAGAGGGGAAGCACAAACTAGGAACTTTTTATTAAGGTATTCTTGATCATGTACTAAATCTTTTTAAGCCAAGGGACAGTGAGAAGTGAGGAGACCGTAGCTCTTTTTTAGTTACTTATCTACTTTGGCTAACCTTGGCCAGGCCACCTCTTTGGGCTTTGGGTATCCCAACTTAAAAAAAGAGAGGTGGACTAAATGATCTCTTAAGATTCTCTATGGACTCAAACACTCCTATTACCTAAATCTAACTCATGGGTCAGAAGCTAATAAGACTCAAAATTTTATTTCTGAACTATAACATGTGCTTTAGGAAGAACAGTTGTTTTGTTTTTCCATAATGGAAAATCAACTTTGTATTAGTGATCTATCAGAGGTGACAAGGTGGGACTATGTACCTTTATAAGAATATCTAAATGCAAAAACCTGATTGCTCCTGTGACCCACTTTTCTCATCCATTTTAGAAGTTAAGGTACACAAGGAAATGAGAATTCAGAGACTATGACAATACACTGGACAAAGCTCTGAAGGCCAAACTCACCTTACTGATGGCTAACTTCTAAAACAAAGCCTAGAGAATGACACCAGATAGCCCCTTTTTAGAGAGACCATTATGCGTTAGCACACTTTAAATGTGCCTGGAGCAACCCTGACTTTAAAAGCATCACCAAGTAAGTCAGAGGTTAATTATAAGCATTTGGCTTCTTTTTGGGGAAGACCTCCCAAATGAGTACTGTTGTACAGCTGTACTACTACCCTTTGTTGGTTATGCTCCCCGTGCTGATTCCTAACTATCTGTCTGCAGGTGCTGCGAAAAATATTGTACTCTGGTCTACGTGAACGTCAGTGATGTGAGGTTGGGCTATATCCTGTTGAAAAGAGTACAGAGTAATCTAAAATACTTTATAGCCAGCTCCAAGACAAGTACAAATTGTAGGAAGCAGATTCATTCATTTATCAGACACAGATGAATTATCAGTAGGCAAGGCAACTACAAATTCTATCACATATTCAGGCCAACAGCAATATCTCCTTATATCTCAGCTTATTTTCTGCCAATGAAAAATATTATTCGCTTCTCTTAGCATAGCATCTATTAGTGGATTGGAGGTGATATTATTAACTTGTTGGTACCTTCAGAATGTGCCCAGTGAAAAGTCTAAAACAGTGTCAGTCTAAGACATAAGTCAATGTTAGGTAGACAGGTGGAATACTCCTTGGGAAAGGAAACAGACATCACAGGATAAATAATTCAAAACAGAACATGGGAAAGGGCAAAAGGAAGGCAAGACCACTCCAAATGGCAAGTTGCCTGGTCTATTAGTGCTTTGACTCACCCCTATGACTTCCAGAGCACAGAGGCTTTGGAGAAGTCAAATTCGCAAAATCACTCCTAAAAAGACTCAGACTATTGCCATGTTTGCAGTCAGTTCTAGTTAGGAGCATAAAGGCCCTACTCAATTCACACAAGTACTATCATTCCTTAAGTTCAGGACAGCTTGGGCCAGTTTACCTGCATCCAGAACCTGTGTTCCATCAGGCTGTGGCTGACACCCTTTAGAGTCTGTGACTGTTGTACACGCAAAAGAATCAAAGTCCACTGTGAGGTCTTGCACATTTCTTTCATTGGCATTATCAAAGCTGTTTTTGCCATGCAGCTGTTTAAGGTGTTTCCTCAAAACTGGCTTATGTGCAAAAACCATGTCACAATAGTTACACTTATGGGGCTTATCTCCACTGTGAAGGTTAAGATGATCCTGTAAGGAACACTTCTGAGAAAAGGTTTTCCCACAGATTTTACACTGGAAAGGTTTAATGCCGGCATGCACACGCATGTGTCGATGAAGGTTGCCTTTCTGAGTAAAAGTCTTGCCGCAGAGTAGACACATAAAGAGTTTGTGCATTTTTAAATGGTTGGCGTAGTTCTCCAGGTGACGAAACACCCTGGTACACTTTGGGCATTGGTGATGCCACTGTAGGCCTTTGTCTACACCTCGAATATTAGGCCCAAAGACATCTTTTGAGGCCATGATGATGTTATCACTGCCTGTGTAAGACAGGGCATAATTGTGGAGGTGGTTTTGTTCTATTTCACTTACTCTGTTTTCCACAGTTGAATTTATCAGGGAGTGCTGGGGCTCTGATGAATGTAAAGCAGTGGGTTCAGAAGAAATAAACTGGTTCTGATCTTTTTTACTTCTAACCTCTGATACATCCCCAATAGATTCTACCTTAACAATCTGAATATCACTGTCCTCCATATCC